TCTGCTGAGCAGGGGCGCTTTCTAGAGGAGGTGGCATGCAGGCGTGGGAGGCAAAGGTCCAGGAAGAGGGGACGATAGGCAGGTACATACAGTGTGGGAGGAAGCACAGGAGAGGGGGTGGAAGAAAGGTAAATCTTCCCTTAAAGACCTGGGTCCATGGGGATGGAGGGGCAGTCAACCTGACCTCTGGTAAAGCCCACCAGGAATGGAAACGACCGTTTATCGAGCAGTTGCTGTGAGGCCAGCACAGGCGGGAAGTATCATTAGTCTGTATTGCAGATTAGGAAATCGGTCTCAGGGACACTGGGTAACACAGTCAGTAAAGCAAGCAGGAAGGCGGGGGAGGGCTGTGGCTAGAGGAAGCCTGCGGCCTCCCTTCTGGAACTCTACTCAGGCCACTGCCCATCCTAGCTACCTTCCCCCCTGGCCTTCTGCCTTTCTGGTCCTGGCCGTCACCCCAACCCCCTTCAGAGATCCCTGGGTCTCAGCCCACTGCTCCACCCGCTAGATCATCATGGACTCCAGCGTCTCGAAGCAGGCACTGAGCGAGATTGAGACGCGGCACAGTGAGATCATCAAGCTGGAGAACAGCATCCGTGAGCTGCATGACATGTTCATGGACATGGCCATGCTCGTTGAGAGCCAGGTGAGTGCCCAGGCCCCATCCCCTCAGCCCACAGCAGCACCCAGGGCTGCACTAACCCCTGCCCTTTCTGCCTGACATGCTGCTCTTGCCTGGGAGGGACCAAGTCTTCAGGTAACTAGCCACCTGCTGTTGACAGTGCCTCCAGGGCTCTGCCCACCGCTTGGCCCTGCCCACCTGAAGGACCCCTCTCTGCATGGCTCTGCCACCAGGTCCTGGCTCTGCATGGCTCTGCTTGGCCCTCCCCCAGGCCAGCCTTGTCCTGACCACCAGCTGTTTCTCAAGTGCCCACTGGGGACGAGGCACTTTTCTAGGAGCGGGAGGTACAGCCGTGGCCAGGACAGATGAGGGCCCTGCTTCCTGGAGTGAACATCTGTGGGGAGAAAGGGCAGCATAGGTAAATACATGTAACATTCTCTAGTTGTGCCAGGTGCATGGGAGATGTTAGGAGGAGGCAGTGTAGTACAGCAGTGGTTCTCCAGCTTGCCTGTGCCTAAGAGTCCCCCTGGAAGGCTTGTGGGTTTCCTGGTCCCATTCCCAGAGATTGGTAGGTCGGGTGGGGGCCCATGAATCTGCATTTCTGTCAGGCTCAAGGGTGATGCTGATGTCGCTGGTCCAAGGACCACGCTTGGAGCAAAACTGTGATAGAGTGACGGGACAGGGTAGCCACTTTGGATGGGGTAACCAGGGAAGGCCTCTGAGATGACACTGAGCTGATACCAAAGTGGTGAAAAGGAGCTGGCCATTAAGACTTCTCAGGGGAAGAGTGAAGAGCTGGCCCCAGGCAGAGGGACTAGCATGTGCCCAGGTCCTAAGACCGGCAAGAGCATGACTTGTTTGAAGACCAGAAAGGGGTCTGTGAGGCTGGAGCACAGAGGGGTGGCAGATGAGAGGAAGTTGGAGATGAGGTGGCAGGCACTTGGCATCTGGATTCTCTTCTAGATTGGAGGGTTTTAAGTATGGGCGTGATATGATGTATGAGCAGGTTGGCCACGGGGAGGAGAAACCACACTGATGTGGACTCGGGATGGTGGGGAGAGAGAGGGCCGTGAGTTATCAACACGCTGTTGCTGGGAGTCTTGTTGGGGCAGCATCACAGTCGGATTGGCCCCTGGGGGACAGCATGGGTCCAGACTCCAGGGGCTGAGAGGGCTGTGGTGTGGGGATGAACTGCCAGCCCTGGGCTGGGCAGGGTGATGGAGGGCGTAACAAGCCAGGGGTCTTCAAGGTTGAAGACCGCAGACTGTCAGAGCTGAGCAGGACCATCATACCTGGAGGATGGAGGGACACTCAGCTGTAGCCAGGCCAGGCACAGACTCCAGCTCCAGCCCACCCACTCCTGCCCTGCCTTTCTCTGCCTGGCATACGCCTCTGTGTGGCGCCAGGCACCGTGGGTCTGCATGGTCCCCAACCCTTTTGCTGAGACTGCATGGCCATCCCCCCCCACCCCCACCATGGGTGCCCTGTGGGGAGAGGGGGGAGCTGCCTTGGAAGCCTGCTGTGCCCTCCACGCCCTGCCCAGGGACCTGGCCTGAGGGGCACAGGTGGGAAGTTGTACCCTATTCATCTCATGCCCCCTTTCTCCCCCAAACCTCAGGGTGCTTTCCTGAAGTCCTGCCCTGAGGCAGGAGCCCTTGAGCTGGAATCCCCCCGGTGCCCAGGGGGAAATGATTGACAGGATCGAGTACAACGTGGAGAACTCGGTGGACTATGTGGAGAGAGCCGTGTCTGACACCAAGAAGGCTGTCAAGTACCAGAGCAAGGCCCGCCGGGTTAGTAGCCCGAGCTTGGCCCAAGCCCAATCCCCCATGACAGTCCCTTCCCCAGCGCCCATGAGTCCCAAGACCATTCCATGGTCCCTCCCCATTCTGCCTCTGTACCTCCTCTCAAAATCCCTGACCAGAGCCTTCAGCTCCCCTATTCATTGTGACCCCTTCCCTAGACAGTTCTAGGCAGTCATCCCTCCCCCATCTCCAAGATGTCCCCAAGCCCCTTCACTGTCCCTTTGTACCACACCCCTCAAAGCTCTGCCCAGAATTCAGCCTCCCCACCACACACTCTGAGGCTCTCTATCCTGCCTCCTGTGCAGAAGAAGATCATGATCATCATCTGCTGTGTGGTTCTGGGCATCGTCATCGCCTCCACCTTTGGAGGCATCTTTGGATAGAAACCACCCGTTGCCGCTCCACTCTGGATAGTCTACCCAGGAGGCGCCCTGGCTGCTGCCGCCTGGCTGGGTAGCCCTCTTCACCCCACCTCTGGCTCAGAGCACCCCTACCCCACATGGTCCTCTCTGCCACAGGGCTCTCCATCCCCGCCCTGAGCCGTGTTGTGTGCATGATCTTTGTGATAGTGTGCGTCTGTACAGAAGAGGCAGAGGGGAGCCAGGCTGGGCAGCGGCCCAGGGGGTGGGGTGGGAGCCAGCAAGGGACAGACTCAGGCCCTGGCCCAGGCTGCCTCACCCTCACTGGGCAGGGTTGCCCAGGGCAGCACTGCTACACTCCCCTCCCCTGCCTTCAGAAATTCCCCTCAGGCCTGGGCCCTGCCCTCTCCTGGCACCAAGGCTCTTTCTGGACCCTAATCTTGCCTCTGACTGACCTGCCCATCTGCCCTGGCCTCTGGCCTCCAGCTGTCCCAAGTAGAGCCCCTGAGGGGTGCGGACCAGCTGGCCACATGGTGCTGCTTTTCAGGTTAGGGGAGGGGTGGCCCTGAGGGACAGTCCAGCTCCAAGTCTCTGATAGCCGATCACTGCCAGGGAGGCTGAGGGTACCATGGCCTCTGGCCATGGCAGGACCAGACCCCTCCCCCACCTTGGGGCAAAACCAACAGGTCTTCGGCTCCCTTGGCTGAGGCCCTGGCCACTTCCCCTCACCCTCCCCACACTCGCACAGCCCCAGAACAACCCCTTTGGGCTAGGTCTGCCCCAGGTGACCCTCTGGAAGAGGCTGGCTGGTGCCCTGTCCCAGCAGCCCTTGGAGCTGGGGAGGCAGACTAGGCCCCGGCAACCCCTGCCTGGCTGCGCCCACAGCCAACCCAGCCACTGACCCTGGCAGCCCTGGGTTGGGTCTTCAAGCCATTGTGTTGCATGTTTGGGACAGTGGCCTCTACTCTCGTGCTCTGGGAACTCAGGGGTGTCTCTTCAGGCCTGCAGCCACATCCTACCCTTGCTGTTCCCCACTGATGTGCCATGGGGGCATCAGGTGTCTCAGATGCAGTATTCAGCAGCCAGCCAGGGAGGGGCACCCTCCCCCACCCCAGGGCTTCTTTCTCGAGTCAGAAATGCCAGGCCAAGCCCCCTCTTCCTCTTTGACAGGCAAGGAGTGTGCATGCGAGTGCATGCGGCGGGGTGGCCTCTCTGGGCCTCCCTCAGCTTTGCTCCTGCCGTGACCACTGTCCCACGCTGCCTTCTTCAACAGTGACTCCTCTCCCCACCTCCACCCTTCACCAAAGGTCTTGGTACAACCAGCTGCCCATTTTGTGAAATTTTTATGTACAATAAACATTTGTATCTGTACCAGGCCTCTTCTCTGGATTTCTTACTGTGGGCATGTCACAGCCTTGGAATGTGCAGGTGAATGTATGTGGCACTGAGCTGACAGGGCTCAGAGGCAAAGGATCACACACACACACACATGCACGCATGTCTGCCTTCTCTCAGGCCGGTCTCTGGCCCTGTAGAGGAAGTACCCTTCAGTGGATAGTCTTCAGCCTTTGGAAGCTGACATCTGGGCAAGACCCCAGGATCAGGTATCAGCTCTCTACACCTCATCCTCTGGCCCCTTTAGCCCCACCCTCCCACCTCCTGCCTGGTGCCTGATGCCTGTACTGTCTGGCATAGCCCCACACCTAGTCCCTCTCACCACGTTCCCCAAAAGTCTCAGGCAACCACAGACCCCCTCTCCTATCAGGCTGCTAGACCACCCCCCACAGCCCCAGTGCAGGGCCTGCCCTTTTGGCCTCCAGTGATCTGGCCCCTCAGCCAGAGGCAACTGAGTGCTGGGCAGCTAAGCAGCCATGAAAGGCTAGCCCAGGGAGCTGGGCCAGGTGATGCCTTCAGAGCAATGAGGCGCCAGAGACTAGGCAGAGGCCTCAGGTGACCGGCACCCCTGCTACACTTTACCCTACCAACCGATTCTCCTTAGTATAATAAACCCTGAATTAAAGGAATGTTTTTATATACATTCAAGACTTGAGACCTAATTCCTGCAGTCAACCAGGTGCCCCACCAAAAGAGGAACTTAGAAAACTTGTTTGGGACCACAGGGCTGGAAAATGCCGAGAGCCAGAGAGTGCCACAGAAAGTGTTTTATTGCTTTTAGAACAAAAGAACATGCTCTCAGAGCTTTTCTTTAGAGGAAAAAAAAAATACTTTCGGAACTTCAGAACTTTCTAAAAACGCTACTCTGTCAACCGATGAAGTAGGCACTTCAGTGGGGAAAACTCCCCGGAGGCAAACGCCTGGCTGGAGGGCAAGGTCACATCCGTGTGATTCCCGGCTGTCCCAAGGACGCAGCTACTGCTTAGAAATAGGGCTTGCGCTTGCGGCCAGTGTACTGGGTGTCCGGTCTGACTTCCCTGTGCCAAAGAAAAGATGGGCGGGAAGGATAGAACAGTCTCAGAACAAAGAACCCCTGGGAGCCCCTCAGATGCAGGTGAACCTTCAGTGGCAGCAGACACTCACCACCCCTCCGTCCATCTGTCCATCCATCCCCAGTCCAGGTACTTACTTGCCCTGACGCCGGCGGCGCTCCTTCTTCTCCAGCACCCAGTCCCGGCTCTTTCTCACCATCCCCCGCCTGGCAGCCCTGTGCGGGACCCTGTGCAGGAGACACAAGCTGCGTGCTGATGGGCAGAGCTGCCTGGCTGCATTGGAGCTCACCCAGGCACTATCCTGACTTGGGTGGCCTCAAGTCCCCCTTCTTTCAAATGCTTAGTCTTCCCTTCTACTAGAGAAGCTCCTATTCTGGACACCCTAACTTGATGGTAACATCTGCTGGGGCCAAAGCAACTGTTTAGGAGGGCTAGAGGGGCAGGACCCAGTCACTCGCAGGCAGGCATCTCCATGGGGTGTGTGGAAACCTTGCCTGTAGGGCAGGCGGGGGGCAGAGCTACTTTTGGAGCAACCCAAGCCAGGACAGGCTCACAAGAGAGCCTGACAGTGCCCAAGGAAAGCCACTTCAGGCCTAAGTCTGGTCTGGGGCCAGCGTGCCTGGCATAGACCAAGTGGGTGCTCCCCAGCAACAACAATGTCTGAGGCAGGAAAACAAGGCCACCCAGCTCACAGCAGCCCCGACGATGCTCCTCCAAGGCTGATCTGGGCCCCCTGTCCTGGCTGAGGAGAAAGGGGTCTTCCACAGCCCCAGGGAAGAAGGGCCAAGAGCAGGGAGCACCTAGGGCCCCCTAGACCACATCCACCTGGCAGCTAGGATCAACCGTTTCCAGTATAAATTACAGCATCAAGGACTGCTTGCCATGAGTCACGGCCCCTGGATGCCCCAGTTGGCATGAGCATCCATGACTGCAGGGATGCACTGGAGGCCCACCCACACCAGGGCAAGTGAGTGCAGGGTCCAGGAACTGCTTAACGGAGTGCTGAGGGAAGGAGAAGCACCAGGCAGTGGAGAGAAGCTGGTATTTCAACAGGCAGAAGTAGGAGAAGACAGCGTTCCAGGCAAGAGGCAACATGTGAAAATGAGGCCCTGTTGAGGGACTGAAGGGAAAGGTTGGGGAATAGCAAATTGTTCCATTTGCCTGCAGTCATGGGTACAAGAAGGGGAAGGGCAGGGTTAAGGCCAGAATGGTGGGCTGGGCCAATTCATGGAGGGCATAAGGCCACCCAGAAGCTTGTTCTCCCTCCAGAAACAGCAGGGAGTCAGTGAACATTTTATACCTGTTATAGACTGAATTGTGTCCCCCCAAAATATTATCAGCTTGGCTAGGCCATGATTCCCAGTACTGTGTGGTTGTCCACCATTTTCTGATCTGATGTGATCATCCTTCGTGTTATAAATCTTAACCTCTATGTCGTTAACAAGGTTAGAGGCAGTTATGTTAATGAGGCAGGACACAATCTACAGGATTAGGTTGTATTTTGAGTCAATCGCTTTTGAGATATGAGAGAGAAGCCAGCAGGGAGGGAAGGGACCTCATGCTACCAAGAAAGAAGTGTCAGGAGTGGAGCGTGTCCTTTGAACCCGGGGTCCCTGCACTGAGAAGCTTCCAAACCAGGGAAAGGTTGATAATGAGGATCTTCCCCCAGCACTGACAGAGAAAGCCTTCCCCGGGAGCTGGTGCCCTGAATTTGGACTTCTGGCCTCCTAGACTGTGAGAGAATAAAGGTCTGTCTGTTAAACCATCCACTTGTGGTACTTCTGTCACAGCAGCACTAGATGACTAAGACAGTGCCCAAGGAAGGACACGATGAGATCTCAAACCTGGCAGGTAAAGGCAACAGCTCAGGCAAGAAACAAGAGGGCCCACAACTAGGACGCGGGAAAAAGGGGGTGGGGTGGGCAAAGGGGGTGGGGTGGGCAGAGGATTGGAATACCCCAGAAGACCCTGGCGACAGCCCCGAGAAACCAGTGGGGGGCGAGCCAGCGAGTTCCCACTTGAACACAAGTCTGACGGCCAGGTGCAGAGCAGGAGCTGCAGACCTAGGGCTGGAGACGCAGGAGTCGTCCTGAGGAATCCAGAAGGAAGTGGAAAGCTGTGGGGGCTGAGCAGTGAGTGGGGGGCAAGATGTGAGCCAAACAAGAGGAAGAGTCATGAGGGGAGGTAAAAGGAGCAGCCGAAGAAGGGGAGCGCCCTGAACTGCAGGGGCCGAGAGAGAAGTGGGGTCCGCAGGGCCGACGCCAGGAAGTTGGACTGCGGCAAGTCTTCTGACTGATGAATTAGACTCTGGACTTTCGAGAGAACAGTACAGAGGACTGCTAGGGTAGAGGCCAAGTGGCAGGGATTAAGGAACGCATGGATGAAACAAACCTGGTGCCAAAAAATGGAGAGAGACTGTGAAGACGCGAGAGCACAAGACAGCAAGAGCAGCAGCAGAGAAACAGCGGGTGTGCTGGCGAGGGAGCTGCCGCCTTCAGGCTGAGGCTTACTGGCGGAGTGGGGTGCCCCCAGGCTCTTACCGTGAAGCTAAAGAGCTCTGTCACACTTGCTCGAGCAGGGCAGAAACCAGGCCAAGAGGCCAAGGGCCAGAGAGAGACCTGCCTGTGGGCATGGCTGGGAAGAGGCTGTCCTGATGGAAGAACCGTATCCTGAGTGTTCCTGAACCTGAATTGTAACCTGTTACTGCCCTAATAAACCCCATAATCGTGAGTATGGTCTGTGAGTTCTGTGTGGCCACTGCAACAAATTATCAAACCCAGCAGAGAAGTAGAGAGTGCCGTGAGAGGGACGGTTGGTGTCAGAATTGGTAAAAAGGTTGGAGGGTAGAGGCATGTCTGGCCTCTACCTCATAAGGATCTGCCTTGGGCTGCTGATGCTGATAATGATTCTCCCCCTTGTGAAGTTATACAGGAGGTCCAATGCCCCCACACCACGCTGTTCTTACATATGCTATAAAGGAAGCAGATAAATGGGATGGTACCTAGATGTCGCGATGAGATGAAGAAACAGGAGAAATTGTGCAGTGTTTGTGTGCTGATGGAAATGACCCAGGAGAGCGAAGATGAGGGTGCAGGAGAGGGAAGGGAGAGACACAGGTGCCAAGAGGGGGCAGGGTCCAGGACGCAGGTGAAGAAGGGCAGCTTCAGGGAAGGACAGGGACAACCTGTAATGCAGGGCAGGAGGAAGGGGACACGTGCAGATTTGGGAAGGGCATCAAGGCTTAGTAGTTACCCACACACATCCAGAAGGGCAGCAGCCCCTGAGACCAAAGCGGCACAGTCCCAAGGGGTCTCTGGTCCTAATACCAGCCTGGTGTCACTGCTGCATCTAAACCTGAGACTTGGACTGAAGCAGAAAAGTGAAGCAGTCCTGCCACTGCCCCGTCCTCTGTCACGTCCCACAGACCTGGCACGTGAACCCGTCCTGGGGCCAGCTGAGCAAGAGCCTTACCTTTCCTTAGTGAACGCGGACTCTCTCTCCTCATCTCCATCTTTCTGATCACTCAGCCCCTGTAGGGACCAAAGTGCTCTCAGATCACCCTGGAGATCTCTCGCCCACCTGCCCGAGCCCCAGAAGAGGAAGGACTACCAGCCCAGTCCCACAGTAGAAACTGCCACCCCACTCTGGGACCTGGAAAGCTGAGGTCACCGCCTCCAGATTCCAGAGGTTTCAGCCATGCCAGCCTCTGTGCTCCGGGTTGGGGGCTTGCTCTACCTCTGGTGTTCTCCCAGCATGCTCCTCAGGCTAAGCCTGAGAGTATGGAATCCAAAAGACACAGGCCTGCAAACCCAAGGCCTCTCACCTTTGGAAGAAAGCTCGAGGGCCCAGAAAGCAAACAGAGGTAAAACCTGGAACAAGAAAGTGCAGTCAGGTCCTCCTCACCTCCCTCCCATGAACAGGAGCAGAAAGTGTGGGCCCCCTGCCTGGCTCAGTCTAGATGATCCAACCCAGCACTGCTCTGGTCCACTCAGCAGTGGCCTAAAAGGGCCCAATCACAGCCCTCCCGATCCAGCTCGCTGGCCCAGCACTCACTTCTTTGCTTTGGCACTGTTGGGGTAGTCCACCACCACACCCCCGGTGAAACCAGCCTTCATGGCCTGGGTCGTGATCAGCTCCAACTGAGGGGAGAAAGACAGAGTCAGACAAGGGAGGCTGGAGGAGCAGACAGCTTCACGTCCTCTCCGGCTAAGCCAGTCTGGTCTCAGGATGCACCCTGCCTGGGAGAACTGAAGGCCTTTATCACAGACCGTTTCCAATTCTGAGCCCTGAAAAGCCATATTCAGGACAGCACAGGCTAGAACTAGTATCTGCTAACTGCCACTTTCTAGTCCAGGGAGGGACCCATCCTCCCCACTCAAATTTCAAAAAGTGGCCATCAATTGGGAGCCAGATGTATCCATATTAGTCAGGACAGTTCACCACTTGTCTTCCAAAGTCTGTACTTCTTAGTTCATCACACTTCACGGAACAGACAACTGCTGATGTCCTCACATCCCAGCCCGTTTCTGTGTGGTCATGGGAGTCACGGGTATCATCACACCATCTGTAATACCGTCTCAGGATATGAGGCATAAGACATGCCATCTGGGGCCACTCTCATGTGTGCGTGTCCCCCCTCCCACCACTCAGCATCAGGGTCCTTGTCCGTCACTCCCCCACAGCAGGAGGGTAGGTGAGGAACAGGACTGCTTACTTGCTCTGGGTCCCTCCCCTTCCCTGTGCCTCCAGCGGCCACGGGGCTCACCTGCTCTGAGTTCTCTGGGTACAGCTGCAGGACAGCACGGGCGCCACGGGCCTGCCAACATAAACAGCACTGCCTTACTGATGCCCCGGGACCTCCTCTTTCTGCACTCACTAAATACTTCCTGAGTTTCCATTACGTCTAGACACTACTCTTAGGGCTGTGGATGCAGGTGTGGAGAGAGCGCCAGAGCGCGAGCCCCTGAGCCTTAGGAGCCTGCGTTCCCAAGGCTGCTAATTTACGGTAGTGATAAGTGTCAAAGACAAAGATAAATTAGGACAAAAGGATGAAGAGTGACAGACAGACTGTTTTGTGACTTTGGTTCAAGGAAGGTCTCTCTGAGGGACTCTTGGGCAGGGACCTGAGTGTAGTGGGGAGCTCACGATGGAAACGCAGACAATAGCATTTCAGCAGAGAAGGGCAAATGCAAGGGCCCCCAGAACTCCAGGACGAACCCCAGCGTGAGGGAGAGAAACCACATCACGTTCAAGACCAGCCACCGGGGAGTCAGTAAGTGCGGAGAACTAGGGAGATGACAAAACAGGTGCTTCACAAAGTGAAAGAGCTTGAGGTGGGCACTCTGGAGGGGTCCCCACCCTGCTGATGCCATGTCCCCAAACCAACTTCCAATTAGAATTCAGTACAGTGAATACATAAATTGTGTTCCACAGAAGGAGGCCCTATTCCAAATCAGTCAGCTCATCTCGGATTCTGACATCAGTGTCTTCTGGGCTTGATTAGGGAGAGTCAGCCCACTGAACATGAACTTCTGTTCAGGCCGAGGACCTGGACAGAAGTGACCACAATAAAGTCCATGTGATCCCATCTGAATGGCCTTCCCATAGGACACCTCTACTTCATCACTCTACCTGCAAGGCAAAGGAGGGACAGGCAGCCAGCCCAGGTGGGGAGGAGAACTCATACTCACCAGGACAGAATAAAGAGAGGAAAAAAAGCAGTATAGGCGTTTGGCTGGGTTGTCAGACTTCTTGTTAGCGTTGCAGAGCCACTGCACAGCAGAAATGCTAAAAAGGAAGGGATGTCGTTAAGAAAGGACCTGTACACACCTTTCCCCCCGTCCCTTGGAGACCCGAACACCACATATCCCTGACCTTCAGGTGAAACCCTCCTGGCCCACAGCTCCTTTCTTGGAATGTCCAGTCCAGATCACCCTTCGACAACACTGCATCAAACAGGGTCTCCAGGTCACATTAACTTCTCTGTAGCCACCCAAGAAAACATTTTCTCAAGCTGTTTCTACACGCCTCTGAAGTTACACTTAAAAAGGCTCAGTGCGTCAAGACTGTCTCGCCCACCTACTCCTTCACTGCCTTCCTCCCATCAAGGGAAGCATGCTTTCCAGTACAGTCATCCACTCACCCTCCTCCTAGACTGTCTCCTTCAACTCTGTCAAGTGTCTCCACAATCCCCAGATCTAAAACTTCAGGCATTAACTAATAAGCCTTCCTTTCTGGCCTTCCCTTTCTCGCTGCTGTGCACACATCCACAGGCCCCCAAACTCTGCTGGTTTGTCCGACTGCCTCTCCCAGCTCTTACTTCCTTCTCCTATAAAGCACTGGTGGTTTGGTAGTAGAATTTCACCTTCCGTGCAGAAGAACCAGGTTTGACTCCTGGTCAATGCACCTCATGTGCAGCCACCACCAGTCTGTCAGTGGAGGCTTGTGTGTTGCTATGATGCTGAACAGGCTGCACTGGAGCTTCCACACTAAGATGGACGAGGAAGAAAGGCCCGACTGACAACCTACTTCCAAAAATCTGTCAGTGAAAACCCTATGGATCACAACGGTCTGATCCACAACAGATTATGAAGATGGTGCAGGACTGGGCAGTGTTTCGTTCGTTGTACGTGGGGTTGCCATTAGTCAGGGGTCAGGTCATCTTGCCAGGTAACTACTCTCCTGGTCAATACTCATTACCATTTTGATTGGGTCATTTTTTAGAACGGAGTTAAAAACATTCTAGGAGCCAATTCTACACGATCTCATCTCCACGCTCCTTTTCATCCCTATGGTCTGATCGGGCTCCTCTCCCCACTCACTCCTGTGCCTTTGCTCCCACGGTTTCTCCACTCAAACCCTCTCTTTGACTGTCCAAATTCCTCCCAGCCTCCAAGGCCCACCCCCTCACAGCTTTCCTGTGCTCTCACCTCTCTTCAGATCTCTGCGGGCCCTGCGCCTCCTTACTGCACACCCTACTCTAAGCCTTGTGCTTAGCCGCATGGCCCATGTCTTATGCTACCTAAGAAACTATGGAGGTTCTTAAAGGCAGGGACTATGTTCTACTTCCACAAACTCCACAGCACCTTGTACAATGTCTTAACATATGTTGTTGTTAGGTGCCGTCAAGTCGGTTCCAACTCATAGCGACCCCATGTACAATAGAATGAAACACTGCCTGGGTCCTGTGCCATCCTCACAGTCGTTGTTATGCCTGAGCCCACTGCTGCAGCCACTGTATCAATCCATCTCGTTGAGGGTCTCTTTTTTGCTGACCCTCTACTTTATCAAGCACGATGTCCTTCTTCAGGGACTGGTCCCTCCTGAAAAGATGTCCAAAGTATGTGAGACAGAATCTTGTCATGCTTGCTTCTAAGGGGCATTCTGGCTATACTTCTTCCATGCCCCGTTCTTCATATAGTCCAGCTTCTCGGATTTATTTGCTCAGCATACAGATTGAATAAGTATGGTGAAAGGATACAACCCTGACGCACACCCTTCCTGACTTTAAACCACACGGTACACCCTTGTTCTGTTCGAACGACTGCCTCTTGGTTTATGTACAGGTTCCTCATGAGCACAATTAGGTGTTCTGGAATTCCCATTCTTTGCAATGTTATCCTTAATTTGTTATGATCCACACAGTCGAATGTCTTTGCATAGTCAATAAAACACAGGTAAACATCTTTCTGGTATTCTCTGCTTTCAGCCAGGATCCATCTGACATCAGCAATAATATCCCTGGTTCCACATCCTCTTCTGAATCTGGCTTGAACTGCTGGCAGTTGTCTGTTGATGTACTGCTGCAGCCGCTTTTGCATGATCTTCAGCAAAATTTTATTTGCATGTGCTATTAATAATATTGTTTGAAAACTTTGGTCTTACATATAGCAAATGTTACAAAAGGAAGAAAAGCTTGCTGTACCATCTTTCCTCTTAAAAACAAACAATAAGCAAACAAAAATGGACTATTTACACCTCAGACATACAAACCATACGACTGGTCATTGATTTCTGCAGCCTAGAGGGTCTCCCTTAATCACTTAATCATTATGAAAAACCACCGGCCACCTCTGAAATGGTCTCTTCTTCTCAGGCTTGTTCCTAGATGTAAACTAATCCCTTACCTCAAAAAAAATCTCCAAATCCAAATTTTTACTCCTCACCTCAATGCCTCTGCATGCCTGCCTCAATGTAGGATCACAGGAGGAGGCCTGCACCCAGGTCGTGATTAAGCTAGGACTTCCTCTCCTATTCCCTACCTTCACCCCATCAACAAACACAGCCATCAAACACTAAAAAGAACTTACTACAGAAGACAAAGAAAAACCTGTTGTTTCTAACAATAATTTCCATTTTCTGCTGGGGAGCCCTGGTGGCACAGTGGTTAAGAGCTCAGCTGCTAACCAAAAGGCTGGCAGTTCAAATCCACCAGCTGCTCCTTGGAAACCCTATGGTGGCAGTTCTACTCTGTCCTATAGAGTTGCTACGAGTCAACATCCACTCAACGGCAACAGATTTGGGGTTTTTTATGTTTGGTTGCTTATCAAGGCAGTATGTACGTGCTCCAGACTAAAGTTCCTTGACCCTGACCACCTAACAAGAACTCCTAAGCCACTAGAGAGACTGGACCAGTCTGGGCCACTCCTCACTACAGAGTTCTTAAAAAATAAGGTGACAATACAGCCAACAAGATGCCTCCTAGAGGCTCAGAGACTGCCCCCATTCCCATACACAAAGCAGACAAAGAATCTATACCAGTGGCGCCTGAACCTGGCAGTGCAAGATAATCACAGAAGTAGACAGTTTTGAAATGCAAAAACTACATGCTCTTGGGCCTTGCTCTGACCTTTCAGATCTAAAAACCCTGGGGATGTACATTTTAAGTGCTCCATGTGACTCTGCTGCGCAGATTTGGGAAGCACTGGCCTGAAGAATTAAAAGCAGTAAGAGAAAGACTCTCACCTGATACAACCGTCAAAGGAACCTGGCTTGAAGGGGATGCCTTGGCCCATGTCCCCGAGAAGCACATCTCCCTCAGTGTCTCTGTCCAAGGCCGCATCTACATTGGAGAAGAGGAAGCCAGGGAAACAGACGACATACACAACTGCTCCACACTCATGAAGGTAGCCCACCCCAGTGCCAAACGGGACACACTTACCCAGCATGGCAGGGCTGATGTCAATGCCCACCCAATAGTGCCCCTCATCTGAGAGATAATCCCCACTCAGCCCAGAGCCACAGCTGGAAGAGACACAATCAAACAGGGAGTCAGCAATGCACAGCAGACACTCCATCTGGACAATCTGAGCCAGCCCCCAGGACCTCACCCAACATCCAGCAGATAACAGGGCTGACCCTCCGGCAGATAAAGGAGCTCCAATGCTCGCCCAGCCATCTTGGTCTGGATATCAATCATCCGTGAGCTGGGAAGGCAGAAGCACAAGTGACTGGTGAGGGAATTTTCGGCTGATACCGTCCCCAGACCCAAAAAAGCCAAGAAAAGAAAAAAGGGCCAACCATACTGAGGGACTCTCTCCTGACCTCTGCACTTGGTAAATCTAATCTGGCATCAACAAACTCAACGACAACTATTTAAAAGTGAACCAAAAGTCTATGTCACACAGCAACAAGTTATTCTGTTGTGACAAAAACTATACCTGTTCCAGTTGCAAAACTGATGTGTAGGGAACCTATCACTTAATGACCAACCGTCGGGTATCCGCAATGCTATTACATTCTAGGCTTTGATGCACCCTATTACTTGTTAAGAACCTATTTCCAGAGAATCACCACTGTTGTTGTGTACTATCGAGTCGATTCCAACTCTTAGAGACACTGTATGACAGATAGAACTGCCCCAAAGGGTATCCTAGGCTGTAATCTTTACAGGAGCAGATCACCAGGTCTTTCACCTGTGGAGCCAGCAAGTGGATTCAGTTAACAGCCAAGCGCTTAGCTACTGCACCATCAGGGCTCCTTTCTCCATCAGTTACCCTCATATATAAGGGTTAACATTGCTTTTGCACAACAAAAACGGTGCTGTGCATGAGAAATAGAATGCAAGCCACATATGACTTTCTAGTACCCACAATTTGAAAGAAATTAAATAGGTTAAAAAAAAAAAAACTTTAATAACAGTTTACCTAATGCAATATATTTAATATTATATTTTACTTAACCCAATATGTCCAAAATATTATTTCAACACGTAATCAACAACAATAAAAAATTATCAATAAAATATTTTACATTTTCTACAAGGAAAGTATTAGCCCAAGAGACAGAAGGAGCCACATAAACCAGAGACTTCATCAGCCTGAGACCAGAAGAACTAGATGGTGGCTGGCTACTACCAAAGACTGCTCTGACAGGGAACACAACAGAGAGCCCCTGATGGAGCAAGAGAAAAGTGGGGTGCTGAACTCAAATTCTAGTAAAAAGACCAGACTTAATGGTTTGACTGAAACTGGAGGGCTGAGAAAACAGGGCTCCCAGACTCTGTTAGCCCAAAACTAAAACCATTCCCAAGGCCAACTCTTCAGACAAAGATTAGACTGGACTCTGGAACATAAAATGATACTCGTGAAGATTGTGCCGCTTAGCTCAAATAGATACATGAGACTAGATGGGCGGCTTCTGTCCAGAGGCAAGATGAGAAGGCAGAGACAGTCAGCAGCTGGTTGAATGGACACGGGAAATCCAGGGTGGAAAGGAGGAATGTGCTGTCACAGTACAGGGAGAGCAACAAGGGTCACATAACAATATATGTATAAATTTTTGTACGAGAGACTAACTTGAATTGTAAACTTTCACTTAAAGCACGATAAAAATATACACATATTTTACATTTTCTTCATACCAGATAATTCAGACTAGCCACCTTTCAACAGATGGCAACTGGCTAACTACTGGACAGAGTAGGTCTATAGTATGATGTACCTGGCCTTCTCAAACTCAAAGGAAAGAATCCCGCATAGTAGTTCTCAAAATGCCTAACGCTTAACACAGGGCTCTGCAGCTAGGAAAAAAGGTTTTTATTTGACATATGATGACAATTGGGCCTGAAATTTTTGCTGACCTAATTTGATACAGTGGTTAAGAGCTCAGCTGCTAACCAAAATTTCGGCCATTTGAATCCACCAGCCGCTCCTTGGAAACCCTATGGGGCAGTTCTACTCTGTGCTATAGGGTCGCTATAAGTTGGAATCGACCCGACGGCAACGGGTTAATTTGAACAGAAAAGAGAGAAAGGGTATCTGTAATGCACAGTAAGCATTCTAAGAATATTATTTCCCTCCCCGCAAAAGTACTGACCCTTTACACGCATTCACTGCCTAGTTCACTACATGCTTAAAGACAAGTTATCGCGTTAAATTTTGAAAACAGTCTACAGAAGTACGTTTGATAACCCCCATTTTAATGATGCGGTTACTGAGGCCCGGAGGATTCGGTGATATACTTAAAGCTGCCTTCGCTAGTGGAAGAAATGGGATCAACCCAGATCCCTCCCTTCTCCCACCATCAAATTCTACGTGCATTCCAAGCACAGCTCCCAATCAGGGCCTTGCAAGCAATTTGCCGGTTCCCGACCCCCGACGCCCGCGATATCCAGGCTCCCCTCACTTGCGAACGTATTTCCGGGCTTCATTCTCGTCGTAAAACTGCGGGAAAGAAAAAAAGGGGCGGTAAGGGGAGGACTCTAGACGCTGTGGTCCTCCAAGAGGAGAGGGGGTGCCGGGGGCCACAACCTCACCAGCTCCGGTGGTCCGCCGTGCTCCGGCCTCCGCCCGCGAAACGCCATATTCACACCTCAACAGCACGCCGGCTACTAACCGCTTCCGCAGCCTGGCTTTTATGCCATCCGCCGAGCGACCGCCTCGTAATACGCATGCTCCACCCCTCTCCCCGCCTTCTTTTTACCTGACTGGCTGTAAGGCTGACGCGTTGCGAACTCGGGCCTCCCATTGGCCAGTTCATCTGGCACCGCCCACCTGATCCATTCAAGATGGCAGCCAAGTGCGCGCGGAGGTGGCCGCGGTTGCTACTGTGGAGGTTGTGGCGGGCTCGGGGAGCACCACAAAATCTAGGATCGAGCCTGGGCCACGGAGTGTGGACTCGTTCCCGGAGCGACGGCCCCTATTCGCGCACGGCCCTCTATGAGCTGCTTGGCGTCCCCTCCACAGCCACGCAAGCGCAAATCAAGGCGGCCTACTATCGGCAGAGCTTCCTCTACCACCCGGACCGCAACTCGGGGAGCGCGGAGGCTGCCGAGCGCTTCTCTCGCATCTCCCAGGCCTACGTGGTGCTGGGCAGTGCCACCCTCCGTCGTAAGTATGACCGCGGCCTGCTCAGCGACGAGGACTTGCGCGGACCCGGCGTCCGGCCATCCAAGACGGCCGCGGCCGACTCCGGCTCGCCCCGCGCCCCACCATCCGCTTCTCGAGCCCACAGCGGGGGTCAGGCCGCGCCGGGCGCCAGCCGCACCATGTTCGACTTCGACGCCTTCTACCAGGCTCACTACGGAGAGCAGCTGGAGCGCGAGCGGCGCCAGAGGGCTCGGCGTGAGGCCCTTCGCAAGCAGCAGGAGGACCGGACCAAGAAGGGCTTCCGCTGGGATGAGGTCCGAGACACGACTTGCGTCTTTCTTCTCCTCACAATCTTCGTCATCATCGGCTTTCGAATTTAATCGCAGAGGGGAGGGAAGGAGAGCTAGCCCCAAGGAAACCGCCTTCTGTCTTTTGAATCCTTTCCCTTCCATAGTCTACCTCTGCTGGGGCTCCGAAGGAACTGCTCTCGCCCCTCCACTCCCCCACCACCCAGCATAGCCGTTGTCCTGCGCATCCCTCCCCTACGATCCAGGAAAGGAAACTATCCGAGGCGTAAGAGCGAGGCCCCAAGGTGAAGAGTCCCGAAGTCTGGGGGTGAAGGGTCAGTGAAGGGTTTTCTGGAGTCCCCAGGGTGCCTGCTTCCGGAAGTTGCCTTCCTGATGTTGTCAACTTCTGGAACACTTGCTCTGGCTTCATTGTAAAGCCCTGAGCAAGAATTGTCTCCTCCTGCCCCATATTCGTACTGTGGTGCTCCCCTGTAACCTTGAAACGTGCAACATGACCAGTTGTTGCATACCAAAAGAAAAGTTATGGGGTTGTGCGACACTTTTCTTTGAGTTCCCCAAGCCACAGGTGAGACTTAGAGTAAGACTGTGATGTGTGAAGACCTTGCCATTCCTCTGTTGTTGGCCCCAGGCCCCACTCCCCCTTCTGTTGGTGGCATGTGGGAGTGGGAAAGCAAGGTCCTCAAGCATAAGGAGTTAGTGCTCCTGTGCCCGTATTTGTCTAACGTATGACCTTTGAGAAGTTAACTCTGGGCGCGATGGCAGAGGAGTAAATCCCCCACTCTCCTCAGGGCTGGTCTGCTTGACTAGTGTGCCAGTCGCCTGGTCGCCGCTTTACCTGCCAGCCTTGTTGCTAACTGTGCAGCCCATCCCCAAGCAGAAATAGAGCAACAAATTCAGAGCCTGAGTTCCCTGCGTGTGGTCCATCCTCCTGTTTAGCATGCAGTGCCCATCACAAGTCCCACAAGCCAAATCCTTAAAGCAAAGCTGTTTAAGGCTGTGGAAATGTTGGCGATTTGGAGTACACAAGATTTTTAGGGGTAGGAGGCTTGCTGCTGGTCAAGGTAGAAACTTGGTTCCTTGTTCAGAGCTGGCTGAGGTTTCTTTTCTCTATTTCTAATAAGCTAAGCGGTTGATCATCACCTGGTTAGAGGTGTAATGGGAAAGCTCTCTTAACTCTGAATCACTGCTCATGGGAAGCGGGTTATCTGTGAGATTGTAGGTACTCAAGTGTTTATGCACTGGGCTAAGTGTAAAGCTGTGAGGTGGGAAAACTTTCAACAGGTCTATGCAACAGCGAGGCCTTAAGTCTAGGGTCTAGACAGAGAGGTGCACTGGTACAGCAGCACTAATCCTTCCACTCAAGTCTTTTGTGTAAAATCCTTGTATAAATTTTGATAAACCTGCAGCTAGTCCAGCTTGTCGGTTGGAAGGCATTCAATTCTCTAGCCTTGAAGGTAGGGGCAGACTTAGCCACAGCTTTGCAACAACTACACAATGCAGTGGAAACATTTGCGCCTACTCTGGTTCAGGCCTGCTTGGCTCAGTGAGCTTTGATTTGGGAGGAGGGGAGATAGGTACTTTTAAAATGCCCATTTAATGTTATTATGTTTCATATTTGGAAAACAGGGAAAGTCCGTTCTTTTTGAAATGCAAACTGCAGAAAGTGATTCCCAACCAAGGAGGTGGGCCTAATAGAACTTAAGAGCAAGAGCTTTTTGTTCTATCAAAAGGGGTTGAGCTCTTTTATTTTTGGTTTGTAAAAGCACTGGTGGTCAGTAATAACTGGGACCTTTTTCATTGGCCCCTTGATACAAAACACTCAAGTTTATTTTCTCTCGGTGAGGATCACAGCCAAGAAGGTTTTAGACAGGGAGGAAGGCCCAGACTTCCTGAAACCTTCAAGAACATTCCATGTACCCTCACGCAAGGTGGTTAATAAAGCTTGTTAACCATCCAACACTAAGCCTCTCCTATGCTCCAGAACTAGGCCCACTCCTCTGGTGGTGTTCATCCCCGCCTGCCTCAGGTCTTTTCAGGCCGGAGCTGAACACTGAGTGGCCCCACTCCTTACTCTCCCTAAAACTGAGCCTGGGCTCTTAGAAAGTGAGTTGTGGGGGAGGCCTTTTGAAGGACCCCATCTGGTTCCAACATTTCTCCCCTCTTGGTCTATCCCCTGTGGGATTGTCCTGGTCTTTCCTTTCTCTGCTTGTTGCCTGCCCTGGAGAGGGGAGGCTGAACTAGGCCCTGGACATTAACCTCTCCCTTCTAGGAGCTGCTCACCAGTTCCTGATAGTGGAGGAGGACATGCCTAACTCTAAGCCCCTTTTCTCCTTTTGTCTGCAAACTAAAACAAAATTCTGGAAACTTGGACTTGGAATAGGAGGTCTGAGCAAGAGGGCACCAGGCTCAGAGTGGTGAGGATGGGCATGCAAGTACTAGGCTGAGTGAGCAGCCAGCACGGGTCCTAATGGGAGACACAGGCAACAGGGCAGAAATCAGCTACATGTGTCTAGGCAATTGTTGCTGTTGTCTGTGGATTTGATCAGGATTTATTCCTACTGAGCCAAACTGCTTTTTCTCTCTGTTGCCCTTTATTTTTTGCTTGGTGAAATGATCCTTTACAGATGCCAATGTTGAGGGAGTAGGATTTCTTGCTTCCTTCTGAGGTTCTGGCATTTCTTTCACTGAGTGCACCTTCTGTAATAGTCCCACTATGTGCCAAGATTAGTAAGAACAGCCTGCCTGAGGCGAGAGTTGCCATGTTCTGATTGACTCTGGAAGTCCCTCTACAGGACCTCAACCTGAGAGGCTGAGGCACCAAGGTGAAACCCAAGGAATAGCCACCAACACTGCCTCTTTGGGAAATGGAAAGGCCTATGTCTTGGACTTTTGGCCTTCCTAGAAGTTCACCAAACCTCATGAAGAGAGGCTGAGAAAAGGCACAGATGGTTAAGTAGTGGTGCTGCTTTCATATCTCTTCCTTGAGTCTCATTGCACTAGGAAAGTGACCTCTGTACTGGCCTTGGCCTCCCCTCAGTTCCTTAGCCTGTGTTGAGGTAACTCACTGCCACCTGCCCATGAACAAGATCATGGGGAAGACTTGCCTCACCTGCCTTCAGCATCTTGACTCTTAGGCCTGGCTTGCAGCCCTGGTGACCATACAGTTTGTGCAAACACTAAGTGTCCCTCTGTTAAGATGTATTAAGATGACAGTGAGATCTGAATATGAACCTTGTGACTTTGCATATGCCAAGAGCGCTAAGGCTCCCAACCCCAAGAAGTCAGTGCAGAGTTCCTCTCTTGTCATCTGTCCTGGGGTCACAGTCTCACTGTGCATCTAGTCATGTCACCACTGTCTCTTAAGGCTGCCCCGATATTGGGGGCTTAGTGCTAGTCTTGAGGTGAGTTGGCCTCTCATCATGCCTTTGCCTCTTCCATGTTCACACCTTCAGCCCTGGAAAGTGACTGCCCATAGAGGAAAGAAGGCCTGTTTCAGGAGGACCAAGAGCACAGAGATTCGTGGTTCACAGGTCACAGCCAATCTGCAGACACTTGGCTGGCGCAGTGTCTTAAAATAAATTTAACCAACATTGAAAAATTAGGAGACTTCTCATAAAAATCTACCTAACTTCTCTCAAAAAATAAGAACATATGGCCACCATTGAGTCACATGCCTGTATTGCCACTGTGGGAGAAGCCAGGTGACATCTGCCCTTTGAGATAGAATGTTCCTCCTAGTTTGCTTTACTTCCCTCCAACAGAGATAAAGTGTAAAAGGTCGCGTATCTACACACTTGCACCATTTTTCTCACAATAGAGAAATATTTCTCTGTACCCCATGTCTGTCAAGAAGGAAAACAAAAAAACAACCATGCATTTCCAGAAAAATGGAGGGGGGTGTATTTCTTTGTGGAAATGGCCTGCTTTGTTCCTCTGTGTCAACTTCCTGGCCCCAAAGGTGTTTGAGTTTGCAAATTGCTAGTCTACAGCATATGTTGCTGCAAGCCCTCACTTGAGGCACAAGGATTAGTGTGAATCACATTTTCATTGTTGGACAAGAGTCTTGAGAGGTCTACAGCAATGGTAAGGTCTTAGACAAAGCCAGAGGTCCTCTAGAACAATAACACCAATTTCTTCACTCAGTGTTGTGTGTAAAAGCCTTGTCTGAATTGGGATAAACCTTCAGCTAGTCCAAGTTTATCTCTTGGAAACCATTCGATCCTTTCTAACCTTGGAGCACAGGGTCAAGCTCTTAGCCATGGCTTTGCAGTGACCACATGATTCAGTGGTAGAGATCTGAGCTCACTCTGATTAAGATCTGCTTAGTTCAGTGAGCCTTCACTGGCAAAAAAGCACATTTGATGTACCATGTTTCATATTTGAAAATAAAGGGGAAGCTCAAGAAAATGAGCAGAAGCTAGTGATTCCCAAAGAAGAATGTGTATATAAGAGACTTTATTGAGGGGCAGGAATTCTGTTTTTACCAAAAAAAAAAAAAAGTGGGAGTGTTGTTGTTTGAGGAATTTTTTGTTTTGGGTTTGTGAAAGCACTAGTGGTCTGTAATAGGTGGGACTTTTCTCATGGTATGTCCCATGAGAAATCTCTACTTGATGCAGACCCTCAAATTCTCACAAAGGATCACAGCCAAGAACATTTCCTAGAACCTAGAGGCAGACAGGAAGGTAGGAGGTTTCAAGCAGGGAGGAGGGCCCAGACTTCCTGAAACCTTCCAGAACATTTCATGTACCTTCACTCAAGGTAGTTAATAAAGCTTGTTAACCATCCAACGCTAAGCCTCTCCCATGGTCCAGAACTAGGCCCACTCCAGTCTAGTGGTGTTCATCCCCACCTGCCTCAGGTCTTTTCAGGCCAGAGCTGAACACTGAGTGGTCCCCCTCCTTACCCTCCCTAAAACTGAGCCTGGGCTATTCATGCAAGGTAAGGTGTGGGGGAGGCCTTTTGAAGGACCCCATCTGGTTCCCATGGTAACACTCTTCCCTCCCAGTCCCTTCCCTGCCTGGATCTTTCTCTGCTTCTTGCCTCCCCTAGGGAGGGGAGGCTGAACCAGGTTCTGGACATTAGCCTCTGCCTTCTAGAGGCTGCTGCTCAATTCCTGGTAGTGGAAGAATGCTCAGATATGCCCAATTTTAGCCCCTTTTCTCCTTTTGGTCACAAAACAAAACTCCCTGGAAGCTTAGACCAGGAATGGGAGGCCAGGGCAGGAGGGACCCACCCTGACCCAGACTGCTCAGAAGGGGGAATGGTCTTCCAAAGCTGTTCAGTCTTGGGTTATCTCAGGCAGGCACTCTGTGGTTCAGCCTCTAGCCGCTCAAGTGCCAGCAATGAGGAGAGTAGGAGAACGAGGTCCAGTGTGGGATGGAGGTTCTCATGTGGGCACCATCTGGGCTTTAACTGTGTCCCTAACGGGCAAATCTGATTGTCTGGACCTGAAGGACTCTCTAAAGCCAGTCCCCCCAGTTATTGCTTAAATCTCTCTAAATATCCCCCTCAAGCAGTCACTCAGGCACTGTTTGCACATCTTCAGGGATGGGGAACCTCTACCTCTAGTAGCAGCCCTAATTTAAGAGCCTCAGATGGAGCCAAAATCTGGCTCCCTGTGGATTTTACCTATTGGTCTTGGCTCTTACCTATGGCTCTACATGACACAGTCTTTCAGAGATCCAAAGGCTAGACATCACATACAGGTATTTCAAACCAACCCCCCATGGGACTTAAGCCCCAATCCTCTTCCTCATCCTTATCACGCCAGAGGTGCTGTTTTTTGGGTCTCAGTGTAACTATGAGTTGGAATTGACAATGGCAATGGGTTTGGTTTTTTTTAGTGTAACACTTCATTGAAAAATAGAGCCAATCCAACACCTTTCTCTTCCTCAATGGTTATCTCCCTATTAACATGGACCAAGAGCTCCTCAGCTCTATAGGCTTCTACAGCACTCTGTCCCCTCTTATCGAGCAGGACCGTCCATGCCTCTCCGCCAAACCTTATCTCAGTAGATTTGACCTAACCTGACCTGGGACACGTTCTTGCTCTCCCATCTCGTCCCACACTCATTGGCCAAGCTGACCACAGTGCAGACCTGAGCTGAGGACAGATAGCTTCAGCCTGATAGAACCTTCCCATCACTCAGTGGGGTGAGCGTTTGGCAGACCAGAAGGAGCACGTACCATCCTGATGGGGCTTACAGGTGACTAGGAAGAGGAGTGCGACAGGTGAGGCAATTGGAGAACAGCAGTGGAGCAGAGTGTGCTTCTGGCCAGAAGTGCTGGGAAGCTGAGAGTTAGGCAAGACTCTCATGGGTTGGTAATCAGAGAAGGCTTCATGGAAGAGACAGGAACAGTGCTGGACCTGAAGGACAACGGGGCTGTGGATGGGCAGAGAAGGAAGGAGGGTATCAGAAGATTGGGAAGTGCAGGAGCTGAGACGTGGAGGCTGCAACAGTGGAGTGGCTGGTTGAGGGAGCAGAGAGGAGTCGGACAGCATCATCATCCTCATCATCACATTTATTGACGGCCCCGGGAGGCGGGGCTGGGGACAGAACATACAAAGACAAGAACCTGCCCTCAAAAAGGTTCCATTCTACGGAGACAGGGACAGAAAAATACGGAATGGTCTTTCCTGGGGATGGTCCACTCTCACTTGTGCAGGTCAGAAGCCCCTGGCCTACCTTGCCCCAAGGTCTGGAGCATGAGTGGGGCCCATGGTGGCCCTGGCCCCGGTGATGAGGCCTGACTACCAGGCTCCTAGAGGTGGCCCCAGAGTTCGGGGAAAGGTAGGCTCAGGGCATGATGGAAAACACTCCTGTTGGCCTTGGGATTGTGCGAGCCTGGTGGAGTGGTGGGGTGCAGTAGGCCCCTAGGCAGGGCCCCTCAGGGAAGTGGGCATCTTCCCAGGTCCCCATAGGAGAATAAAGTTCTTTCACTGGGGCTGGCCCATCACCCCCAAGGCCCCAGCCCGGAAAACAGAAAAGGCAGAGTTTCCTCAGTGCCAGAGGCAAACACCCTGCCCCCCACCCACCCCCAGCCCTTTCTGGGCCTTTTCCAGGTGACCCTCCTTCCCTGCTCAGCCTCCAGGGCCAGGGCCTGCCTGAGGCCAGGGGAGGGGCCCGCCCCTTCCCCAACTCAGGCAGTGGGG